CCACCGCAAGTGAATCACCGCAAAACAGACATTCTGTAATTGTATTCTAGTTGTATCTGAACTAGCTTGAAAGTGAGAAATACCCCCAGATACTTTATTAAAGATCGCCGCCAGCCACATTCAAAACGACCGGGTAATCTAGGATGTGCGCTGGCAGTTGTCCGGTTTAGGAACCCCAACGACCCTCAACAGTCTGGGAGCCTTGATATATGGTGGATAAACTCGTCATATGTCACTTCTCATGTCCACATACCCCTACGATTCGAAAGCAAGACAAACTGACCCCGCTCTATTACAGACTCACTCCCTAAGTCGCCGTTGAGGCTGGCGTTGCGGCACGCGCCGAGCCTTTACCAGCCTTTCAACCGGCAGTATGTACTGGCGAGTCCCGGCCTCATGTGCCATTCGATAGCACGTCACTCACACAAGAGACTCTGTCACATGGTTCACAAACAGCGCCATGTTTCTCCAGGCTCGAGTTGCAGTCCAGCGATAGGGGATGTTTCAGTCTTGATGCACGACAAGTGTGTTGCTGCAAAGATCCAGCCGCTCTCAAATCCTGAGGTGAGACTATATCCATGGGAAATCGACTGCTGATCCACACGGCAAGCGACTATAAAAACCTTGAGCCTTCCCACAAGTTTCTACTGATCTCTCCTCATCTCGTCACTAGCTCTTACAACATCATCCAACCCGCCAACGCTTTCACAGTTTGTACGACTCCAACAACAACCAGCAACCATGAAGGTCTCCGTCATCCTCGCACTTCCTGCCCTTGCCCTCGCTGCGGCAACTCCCGCTGTTGAGGAGCGCCAGCTCCCCGGCATTCCCAGTCTGCCTGGTCTTCCTCTGAACCCAACTTGCCTCCTGCGTATCACCGGTATCACTACCTGCGTTCCTGGCGGCGTCGATGCCGACACGCTCCTGAGCGATCTTCTCGGCTGGTATGTTTGTTCCGGCACTCCTCCAAACCAGATGTTCAGGTGCTGACATGAGTCGCTCGCAGCCCCGTTCGCGTTATTCTCTCTGCCCTTGACTGCATTATCTCGGGAGTCCCCCTTCCTATCAAGGAGTAGGCCTCGTAAACTATATCAGATTCGATCCATTTGAGTATCGAAAAATTTGGTCAAGTATGGGTTTCGGTGTCAGCAGGACGCTGCGGGCAACGAAAAGGATAGGACAGGACATTTTCAGTATTCTTATCAAATAAAAATCTTCGGTACCGCACAACCAACTGCTATAATACGAAGTGAGACTTTTGATTAGCCTAACATTCATCGACTGCGTCTATAACCAAAGCATTCGTCAACAGACAATCCCACTCGCAACGACGAGGTCCACCCCTTGCAGGCATCAGCAACGTCCACGACGCACAAAACGTCGAAGGGAGAGAGACGTGCAGTGCGTTGGCTCGCAATGCGCTTCCAGTCAAATACAGTAGCGGCATCTCGTAACACGGAATCTGATGCAACGGACAAAACTTAAGGCACACGGCATAGTCCAATACTCGTCATTATGTCATCGCCGATCCAACCGCGACTCAACTTCCCCTGAAGATATCTGTCAGGGGACCCTGCGGGTTCCCTGCGGAGTCGCCAGCAGGGGGTCGGCCAGGAGGCTAAGGGCTACGAGAAACGTACATATAGGCTGCGGAGGGCCCTCCAAGCTGCGGAGGGCCAGAATTCAGATGTATTCCGACCCCCTACCTATCTTCTATCTGCTGCGGACCACGTGTGGAAGAGCTCTTCACTCTGCTCTAAACAACGCTCTGACAATATCACATCTGGCCGTTTTCAGAGCTGGTTGCGCTTTCTCGTTGGGCCTTGTGGTCAATAGACACAGAACTGATGCCTGGGCTCGCCTATCGAGAGCCTCGATTGGATTGCGGGAATCCCCAATTCGAGTGTCTGTGGGCAGTCGGTGTTATCTCTGCAGCTTTGTGTATCCTTACGTATGGGGGTAGAACCAATCTGAATTCTGACTTCCGCAGCTAGGAAGCCCTTTACAGTCCTTTTATGAACGTTCTCGTAGTCCCTGGCTGCTAATCAGCCCCGTACTCTGTAACTCTGGAACACAAGTGGACTAGGTTTCACACCCCATGTCTTTTGGTGATAGCTTAATATCCTCTCTTGTCAAGACTTTACCTTCTTGTCTAGGGACCCCAAGGGGAATAGTGGGTTGGGGAAATATGGAACTGCCAAGAGAAGACGAGTTGGAACTAACATCACTGTCTACTTGCTGTCTGAAACTTCAGCCATGCATCCACAACATCGTCCGTAACCCATCTTCTCCAGATGCTGGGCGACGCTACGGCGCCAGTCCCTTTTAGAGTCCTCATTCTCATGACTGAAATCCATTCCTGCCGAGAGGCGAAACTTTGTTCTGACCCATTCGATGGGAACATAACCAGCAAGCTCCCAATCAATGATGCCCAGCGAGCCTGTCGAGACATCGACAAGAATATTTTTAGGGCCAAGATCACAGTGATAAAAGACGAGTGTGGAGACATCCATAGCCATCTCAGTGCAGTTCTTCAGAAGCTGCTGTGGAGAAAGGGCATCCGTCATCTTGGTGTTGCCTTTGACGAGATAACGCTCCAACAACTGGCGTCTATCCACACCGCCAATGATATCGCCCTTCCATGCTGCTAGGCGATTGCAAATCTCTGCCACCTGGGCAATGTAGTAATGATGTTTAGCTTCGTCCAGGCTGGGCCAAGCCTCATCAAGGAGTTGACCGGGAAATCTCGAGACGATAAGGAAGTATCGCGAGTTAGTCTCAAAGTGATGGAATACAGTCGGAAATGGAATACAGTCGGAAAGACAAAGCCTTGGGACTTCTGGTCTTTGAGAAACTGTAGAGTAACATGCTCTCTGGTCACGTCCGGATAGTCCATGTGATGCGCTTTAATGAACGCTTCACCCGCCCGCCAAACGGCTGCCTGATTGTCGACAGCATGGACTATCGAGATGTAAGATGAGACTTCTGCAAGGGGCTTAGAATCCGGGAGAGGCTCAGGCGCAACGCGGAGAGCGAAATGGCCCCCATTGCTATCGATCCAGCACACCTGGTCGGCTGGAACTTCTTCAGGGGGTGGCGACGACGAACGAGTAAAGAGATAGGTAATTAAGATTAACCAGGAGCTTTTATCGACTTCCCGTATAGATTCATTGAAATGCGGCTGAGACATGCTAATCGACGACATGTTGATTGATCTTGATGTTCAATGTGAGTATGAATGACAGGTACCAATCCTAGGTTCTTTATAAAGAGCCCATGTGAGCGGTGAGCTTTTGCCATGTAGTATGTGGATTTGCATCGTCAAAATTGAAAATGACTGAGCGCTGTGAGTGGCTCCTCCCTGTTGAGACACCAACCAAGTCCTTGTCCCGAAAAGATTCCCATATCAGTGTTACGACCTGGCAGCTTCCGAAGGGGGAACACTGTCAGAGGGTTGGGGTTGCTGTTTGCAGAAGCTTAGGTTGTGACTCTGAGACGATGTGGTGTCGTAAGGCGTTGCGCACTCGTTACAATGAATACAAGGTAAGACTTAGATTGATCACTGTCGTGAGAAAGAATGTATCTACAAGTCCAGAATGTCCGTCCTTATATACCTGCCATCCTGTCCTTGTTGTGTTAGGTGGTGAGCTCATGTTGGATGGCTCACTGGTTAGTTGTTGGTGATCCATGATGTTAGGATCACGGTGTGTTATCCCGTGAGCCATTCCCTGGCTCACTGCGGCGTCCTTGGTGAGCCCGACGACTCACCCTTTATGTCTGAGTGAGCCATCACGTGATTTGCCAGGTGGGCCCGATTCTTATCTTATCGCGCTCCCTGATCGGGGGGTCGTCCATTCACGGCCGCCCTGCTTCCTTGGTTGTTACATGATGCGCAGCGGGGAGAGCATTTTCCCAGCGGGCATGTGGGTAAGACAGAGGAGCGTGACGGGATCGGCTGGTGGAGCGTGGGGAAAGAAGGAAAAGCGGGCGCGTGAAAACGATCCTTGAGCGACCTAGCCGGCGTGCTGAGCCCAGGGGAAAGGGAATCGCTAGAA